GATGAGGACTATGAACAAAGCTTAAAGTAAAAAAGGAAAAGTGGCTAAGAGAGGGTAAAGGTGATGTTTGCTGAGTGCTGCAGAATGTGCTGCTACAGCCTCCTCCCTCTGCACTGGCACTGAAACTGGACAGTGCTGAACCCCAGGTAAAAAAAAATGGAAATATATTCAGGTGTAACAGGGCTACAGAGCTGATGAGGGGTCTGGAGGGGCCATGGGAGGATCAGTTGTTTTGTTCAGCCTGGAGGAGACTGAGGGGACACTCAGCTTCTTCACAAGGGGCAGCATCATCTCTGCTCTGGGTGAGCAGGGACAGCACCCAGGGACGGGCTGGAGCTGTGTCAGGGCAGGCTCAGGGTGGATCTCAGGGAAAGGTTCTTCCCCCAGAGGGTGGTTGGCACTGAACAGGCTCCCCAGGGCAGTGGGCACAGCCCCAAGGCTGCCAGAGCTCCAGGAGGGTTTGGACAACGCTCTGAGGGACAGGGTGGGACTGTTGGGGTGTCTGTGCAGGGCCAGGGGTTGGACTGAATGACCCCTTCCAGCTCAGGATATTTTGCGATACCTGTACCTAAAACACCTAAACCCCAGTGCCACACCAGGCCTTGGCCACATCTGCTGTTTAAAAAAAAAATTATCTTAACACCAAGCTGACAGAAATACAGAAGCCAAAGCAACAAACTGTCACTTCATCAAAGGCACACAGGGACAACACCTGTGTTGTTCATGCCCACCTGCCCTATCAAGGTTGGTAAGATCTCCTCCCATCAGGAAATTTACATCAAATTATTCTACAGCTTTTGTGTGTCTGTGCTGGTTTTATGTCTTTTTTAACAGAAACAAGGTTTTGACCCCTTCCAGGTTTCATTCTAAACTAATCACATATTCTGCAACACAAAAGCTATTTAATATTCCCCTCACCTTCTCCCCCTTAGAATTGAAACCACTGATATCCCAATCGTACTGTATTTATTTATTCCCGCCTCAATAAAGCCCCAGATTACTGCAAACACAGCACTACAACAGAGCTGGCACCTTCCTGCTCAGACTTAAACATCCTCTAAGTAACTATTAGCACAAATTTCCAACCAGTGCCAGCAAATATCCAAGGCCGGGAAGTTATTCACCCCCTCACCGCCGTTTTGACCTCCCCTGCCTTCAGTTCCTCTGCATTTCGACACCATTTCCAGCTCAGGTGGTGAAATTCAAACCAGCGGGTCCCACAGAGGAGGAAGAAATACCAGCTTTTCAAAAAGGAGAAAAACCAACACAAACCAAACGCACAAACAGGCACTTTTCCTAAGGCAGGAGGTCAAGGTGGGAAACAGCTCAACGAGGGGCGTCTCAGGTGTTTGTACACCCCAGAAAGCACTCAGATTTGAGGGCACTGCATTGATGGTGCCCCTGGCTAAAGCAGAGGCAGGAGAACCGAACGTGGTGTTCCCAACCTTCCCCTCGAGTGTCCCGCGGACCGCAGGGCCCGGCCGAGCCGCGACAGAGCCGTGAGGGCCCCTTCGGGAGAGTCGCGGCTCCCTCACGGCAAGGACGCCCCGGCGGCGGCGGCGGGGCCCGGGGGCCTCTCCCGCACCACACCGGGGTCTCCCCGCACCCCTTTCCCCTCAGGCCCCCCCCGGTACCCCGAAGGTCCCGCGGCCCCCGCTCTGAGGGGATGGGGGGGGGGGGGAGCACGAGACACCCCCCGTGCCCACACGTCACTCACCGCGCGACCGCCACGAGCCCGAGGCGCCTCCGCTCCGCCCCCCGGCACAAGCCCCGCCTCCCCCAGGGGTCGACCCCGCCCCTCAAGGCAACACCCCTGTTCCGCTAAGCCCCGCCTCTCTCAGGGAGGGGTCTCGCTAAGCCCCGCCCACTCCATGTGTCTGTCAACTTA